CATCCTGAATCACTCATCTGGTTCCTTCAGTTCCAGTTCCTATTTGTTCGCAGCCAGAAAGAGGAAATGACATCACTGGGAGGGACCTATATACCTTGTTATTCCTTTTTTCTTATTGGTTACCTTGTTACTATGTGAAAAAGTGCTGCTGTGAAGCTTAAGTAAAGAAAGTCTTAAGCAAATACTCGCCTCCTGTCATTAATAAAATTAAGATTATAGGTACACTAAAGCTAGCATAATCTACAATTATCAGCGTAACACTTTTGTTTTTGCCCCATTTTTCATGAGCTGAACTCAAAGATCTAAGACTTTTTCTATGAACACAAATGGCTTATTTCTCTCAAATATTGTTCACAAATCTGTCTAAATCTGTGTTAGTGAGCACTTCTTGTATGCTGAGATAATCCATCCACCTCACAGGTGTGGCATATCAAGATGCTGATTAGACAACATGATTATTGCACAGGTGTCCCTTAGGCTGGCCACAATAAAAGGCCACTCTAAAATGTGCAGTTTTACTGTATTGGGAGGGGGGGGGTTCTGAAAACCAGTCAGTATCTGGTGTGACCACCATTTACGTTACGCAGTGCAACATATATAGTTGATCAGGTTGCTGATTGTGGCCTGTGGAATGTTGGTCCACTGCTCTTCAATGGCTGTGCGAAGTGGCTGGATATTGGCAGGACCTGGAACACGCTGTCGTATACTCCGGTCCAGAGCATCCCAAACATGCTCTATGGGTGACATGTCCGGTGAGTATGCTGGCCATGCAAGAACTGGGATGTTTTCAGCTTCCAGGAATTGTGCACAGATCCTTGCAACATGGGGCCGTGCATTATGATGCTGCAACATGAGGTGATGGTAGTGGATGAATGGCACAAAAAAATGTGTTGCGTTTATAATTTTGTTCAGTGTATTAACAAGTATCAGTTGTGTTCACTATTTCCAGACATGTTATGGGAAGACATCACAAAATGTAGAGTTACTACTGGTTAAGTTAAAAGTAGCAATGGCAGCAAATTCTTATCAAGGGGACTCTGAACAGTTTATTCTTCTAAGTCTTATCAGACGTCAGCATGGTACAAGCACATTTTTCAGGAAGACTACGGACAAATAAATAATGCAGCATTCTCTGTATAAGTGGCAGATTGAACAGATAATGCAATCAGGAGTATATGTAATATGCTTACAGTAGGAAACCCCACCAAACAGACAGGCAGTACAGATAGGGACATGTGTGTCTGTGTGTGTAAGTATGACAGGCACGCATTTAAACTTCTATAAAACTTCTATAGTAGAAGTGTTTTCCTAAACCCAGGGCAAGTTGTACCTTGTAAACTCAATCGTGTAAAAAACTGGGGTCGAATTATTGACTTGAATCGCAGGATGGATTAGACACTCAGGGGAACAACAAAACTTTTAATCATTTTTAGAACTTTTTGCCTAAAGAAATAACTTTAAATTTGCAGACTTAATTTCTTGCAAAAAATAAAATAAAAATTATTAAAGTTTTGCCGCTTTCTAGACCTTATTTTCTCTGTCCTAACTTCCACACGCTAACTTACTTTCTTGTGTCTGATTTTCGTATATAAGTGTCAATTTCCACAAAAAAAATTACACTTTTTGCAAAAAAACAAACAAAAAAAACCCCTGCAAATTCTTAATAAATAAAGTACTTCAGCCACTATAAGTGTGTGGAATGTTCCATTAAGGAACTTTTAAGGTGAATACTTTTTTATTATCTCACATGAATTGCTTTTGCATATTAAGTAAATTTTCAATACAATGCATTAAAAACGGTGAGGTCCATTCCCCCCGGGAGTGCCTCTTTCATATAGCCGCATTTCTAGAATATTTTAATTAGCATCTTCAATGCTGTTCCCTCAAAACCTGGTCTGAAGAAGGAGTAGGCTGTCTAATCCACAGCTCTCCAGAACCTGTGCAAAGTATTTATTGCTCTGTTCTCTTTCAAGTTTGTTGTTTTATTACCAAATTCTCAGTGGGTGATCTCATCCCAAACTACTAGTGGAGAAATAACATAACGGTGTAATTAGTTTAATCTACATACTAAATCAGTGGCGGATCCAGAGCCTGACGTTTTGTAGATTATTTAAAGAAATAATCCATGCACAATAACCACTACAGCTCTGTGTAGCATTAATTTAACCCGTAGACGTGCGACTTTCAGGAACTCCACTCCCAACTATGGCTAGTACTTCATTAGGTTAACCCTATTCTGGGTTTAAGAAGGTTAATCATTCATAGTGGCTATAAGTAAAGATGTTTCATAGCAAACTCGGGTGATATGAGGAAGGAACTAGGAGGACTTAGCTCTTTGGTACCTTAACTAATTTTACAGGTGTAAGAGATGATGAGCAGATAAAAATAATAATAATACCCATATAAACAATAAAACCAATAACAACACAGGCTCACTGCACATATTAAAATGTAGAATCTTGTAAATGCCAAAATGTCAGCCAGCCTTAGGAAAGTATCGTAAGAGAGCCGGTGTTTAGTCCGGTGTGATAAGTGTAGCGTCAGCCAGCACCCATGCACGGAAAAACTGGGTGGCAGCTGAGAGGCACTGTAAGACACGAGTGAGGCATGATATCCCCCAGCCCCAGGCTGTAGTGACGGCTTGCATCAAAACACCACTGACTTGTGGGCTCGTGGCAGAGTCCAAGTCCATCCTGGGTGGGACCTGACAGAAGCTCCTGGTCTTCAGTTGCTGCCTGCGTCGTGAAGTCATCTGCCGCTGTGGTCGATGCTGCTGGAGTATATCCCCATTGGCTTTCCGTCTGGGTAGGCGTGAGTTGGGTTGTGTGGGTATGTGTGTGTCACATCCTGTTCCTGGCTGCGGATCATTTCTGGCAATGACTTCTGGTATCCGGTACTCTTTTTACAATTCTTGTTTAGTTTTTCTTGTTTTTTTGTTTTCTATTCTGTGTCTGGTTTTCTTTATGTTGGGTTTTCTGGGTTCATTCCTTTATTTCGTTCCTGGAATTCCCAGTCTCCTGGATTCCTTTAAATGTTTGTTTTATGTTGCCACACCCTTTCCTTTTCCATTATTCCTTTTGTTTCAGTTGGTTCCTGCAGGCAGTTGCTCCAAGTCCTCTGCCCCTTTCTTGCAGGTAAGTGCTGTGGGTGTTTCATTATTGTTTATTTAGTCATGCATATCTAGGCAGTCTAGGACCCACCTTAATTGGAGTACTTTGGCGCAATGGTGGGTTGCATACATCTTGGCCATTTATGTATGTCTAAATCTCCAATGTTTTACATATATAGGACTTAGTTATGTCTCCTCTTGTTTTGCCTTGTATCTCTTGTCTTGTTTTATTTTGTCCTGTATTCCCAGTTCATGTACAGTCCTGTCCTGCCCTGTTCTTGTTTTTCTCATGTCTTGTGTACATGTTCTGGGATCTGCTTTCTGTCCTTCTCTGGCTCTGGGTTCTCCTAGTATTGTCTTGTTTTCTTGTTAGGTGCCTATTCTAGTCTTGCCTTGTTTCTGTACTGGATACATGTCTGCTGGAGAGCCTCCCTATCCAGTTCCTGGGAGGTCTGCATATCATCTAGTTCCTAGCTCTTGGGATCCGCAGAAGCTGCATCAGGGCCCTGGTATGTGACTGCACAAATGCCGGTGCTCAACACCAGGAGGCATGTGGCTACCCTGCACCAGGCCCTGATAATCCATTTCCACACACGGACTCCTACTATCAAGATCCCGGTCTCCAGACCACCACCCCTGACAGTGTGTGGCAGTTGCGCCTGTAGAGGGCTCACATACCTCCCACCCGGCAATCATCTGAGTATATCGGCCTCCTCCAAGATGTCCACTGTGCCATTATCCTCTATGAAGGTACATCAGACCTTCCAAAGATGGCCGCGCGTCTTTGCCGTCTCGCTAAAAATAGTCACTTCCGGTTTCGTCCGGCTCCGATCACATGGTCCGACTCCGATCACGTGGTTAGAGAGGGCGTAGACATGTAGTTTATTATTTGTCAATCATAAGGCCGTGTCATGAAATGAGCAAAGTCATAATGTTCCCCATAGGAACAGAGTCCGTTTCATATCCAAATTATACAAAGAAAAGAGAAAAAGGAAATGTGAATAATAACAATATACAGAAAATAAACTAACAATATTCCATTTGGCAATATAAAATATAACAATATAGCAATCATTAGATGTTTAAAAAAATATAAAAATAGCAAGTATGCTTATAGTCCTTAAACCAAAGGTAAAAAGAGGGGAGAGGGAGAAGTTAAGTTATAAGATAAATATAATCATGTAACAATTAGTATAAAACATATAAAAATAATATATATAAAAATAGTATGTGTGATTATAAACCAAAAGTGAGAAAAAGGTGGGATTAAGTTATAAGATTGGACCTATTTCAAAATCAATATTTAGACCCTTGGGACATAATGTTTAAAGCTCAAATATCCAATTTTATTCTTTTTTACTTAAATTAAAAGCACTATTCCCACCCCTCCAATGATTCAGAATTTTTTGAATTGCTGTGAACTCCAATTCCTTGGGACTAGAATTATGTCTTTCTAGAAAATGGTTTGACACACTATGATTTATAAACCCAATTTTGATATTTCTAATATGTTCATATATTCATGTTTTTAGTGGCCTTGAGGTTTTCCCTATATACTGTAAACCTCATGTACACTGTAATAAATAAACAACATTGGTAGACTCACATGTAATAAAGGAAGTGATATTAAAATTCTTTATAGTTCTTTTCAATATAAAATCATCTTTCTTTTTCTTAGTTACATGGGTACTTTTGCAGGCATAACAGTTGCCACAATGATGAAAGCCATTTTGGGGTTTTGACCATTTTGTTACAAAATTAACGTTCTTATCCTCTTTTTCTATGTAATTTGAGGTTAAAATTTGCTTAAAACGGGGGCGGGGCCGGACCGCCATGCTAACCGGTCGCATGCAGGAGAGGCTCCGGAGCGATCGGGCCTCTTAAGCTACAAATGGCAGATTATTATGATGACCGACAAGCCTACAAAATACACACGGCTGTGGGAGAGGTAGCGGACCCTGAGATCGGGAGCTTTGGACCCCATAGTGGAAGACCGAAGCTTCGAGGGCTGCGGCCTACTCGGGAGGGGAGCGAGGTGGACGGCCGCTGCCAGGCCTCCCTTCCCAGCTGCCACACGCTGATTGCTGCGCGGGGTCCTGCTCGACTCCAGTGGTCACTTGCCTACTGGCTCACACGACCATTTAAGTTAATACCCCTCATGTCAGTGGTCTATTGCTTATAAATTTTCTACTTGGTCTTACATGCAGACATATATGATTCACAACGTTAAAAATCCATTGCTAAGAAGAATGTACATCCAATGCTTTCCCTTTTTGTCTCTTCTCTGACTACTACTATCTGACTTTTAGCTGCTGTCACTATGGCATAAATATTTACCCTTCTCAGAAAAGCAATGCCATAAGCCTTACCATAATCTAACTATTGTTGATACTTGCATAACATATACCACTAGATTGCCTTACTACGTTTAAAAAATGTTTTAAAAATGTGCTTTCACTTCTATGCCACATATGTGTACATCTATGTTATTGATGTGATTATGTTTGCTGTTGTGGCAACATATATCCTACTGTCAAACCATGCACAACAAAAATAAAGAATTCAAAAAAAAAAAAAAAAAATTTGCTTAAAACTTTTTGCCCCCCTAAAAATGAAAGTAGGCTTATCTCCTCTAAAATCATACATTTCATGTTCTTGCTGCAAGATGTGCCAGTTCTTATTCACAATTCTTTTTAATGTACCAACATTACTACAATAGTTAAAAATAAGTGGGATTTGCTTATCCTTATTATTGGTGTCCTTCATTTTATAATTTAGTAACTGTGATCTATCTAGATCTCTAATATTATCAATGTTTTGTAGAAGATCATTTTCGCAATACCCCTTTTGTACGAATTGTTCTTTTAAAAATAACGACTGTGTATTAAAATCTGTTTCATCCGTACAATTTCTTTTAATTCGTAAAAATTGGCCCTTTGGAATGTTCTTGAGCCATGGGTCATAGTGGCAACTGCTTGTTTCAATGAAACTATTTACGTCCCCTTGTTTAAAAAAGGTGCGTGTTTTAAATTTTTTATCAGAAATATAAATATTGAGATCTAAGAAATCAATAGCAGTAGGGCTGACATTTTTAGTTAATTTAATTCCCCAATTAATAGAATTAAGATAATTTAAAAATAGGTTAAAATCTGCCTCCATTCCCTTCCAAATAATAAAAATATCATCTATATAATGCCTATATAGGGCCAGGTTTGCTCCCCAGTTATGTTCCTGATAGATGAATAGACGTTCCCAATATGACATAAAAAGGTTAGCATAACTAGGGGCAAACCTGGTCCCCATTGTATTATCTTGAATCTGAAGATAAAAGTCACAATCAAACCAGAATTTTTTTTTATTTAAAATCATCCGTATACCTTTGATAATAAAATCAATTTGTGTGTCTAAAAATTCCTTAGATTGTTTTAGAAAGAAAGTAACTGCCTCAATTCCTTTAGAATGTTCAATTATAGTATATAGACTGGTAACATCGCATGTAATTAGTAGATAGTCTTCTTCCCATTTCTGTTCTTCTAAAATCTTTAAAAGGCTCATAGAGTCTTGTAGGTAAGAAGGACATAATTTTACTAATGGTTGCAAAAAATAGTGTATGAACTGAGAAAATGTAGATGAAATCGAATCTATCCCGGCGACTATGGGTCTGCCCGGTGGATTGCCCAAACTTTTATGTATTTTGGGCAGAGTATATAGGACCAGTATTTTGGGATATTGAATCTGAAGAAAAGAAAATTCATTTTTATCCCAAACTATATTTTTTAAACCTTCTTTTAAGAAATTTTTTTATTCTATTTTTATTTCAGTAGTGTTTTTTTTAATCAAATTTCTTATAAGTCGTTGTGTCTAGCAGTTGTCGTCTAATTTCATTTAAATAGGCTTCTTTGTCTAAAATAACTACCCCTCCCCCTTTTATCAGCGGGTTTAATTACAATTGAGAAGTTCTGCTTAAGATCTTTAAAAGTCTGTTTTTCTCTAAAGGACAAATTTTGTTCATATTTTGATAGGGGTTTTATTTTATAAATTTCCTCCAAACATGCCTTTTCAAATACTTTCATATTTTGCGATTTTAAATACTGTGGATTGAATAGAGACTTTTTCTTAAACTTAGTATGTTTAATTTTATTATGATTATCTATTAGTTCTACATTTGTATTTTCCTCTATATCATGATGGGATGTATTTATGTTTTCTTTATAAAAAATTTTTTTCAAACAAAGTTTTCTGGTAAATCTATTGATATCGACAAATGCTTCAAATTTATTGACAGAACAACTTGGAGCGTATTTAAAGCCCTTTCTTAAAATTTTCTCTTTTATTGGTGATAAAATTATACTAGATAAATTAAAAATTCTTATTTCATTATCATCACTTTTTTTATTTATTGGTTTATTTCCCCCTCCTCTGGTCCTCTTCTGACATTCTGTATCTCTTTGTAGGAGTTTTGTGATATTCTTCCCTCCTCATCCATCTCGGTTCTAAAAAAACCTCCTCTCATTTCTCACTTCTTAATCTCTCAAATCTATTTTAAAGGGAATTTGAAAGGATCTGTCATCATTGTATCTTGTCCTAGTTCTCGGAGCTCCCCTTCTAGGTTTAGGTGAAGCTGGCAGGTATCTTCTATCGATCTGTTTAGGTCTAGTCTGTATATCTTTTGGTGGGCTTTTGGCCTTTAGTGGACTTTTCCAATCTTTATATGAACTATTGGGAATAATTTCCTTTTTCTTCCAAACGTGAAGAGGTGTTCTAGGTGCATCACTATGGAGATTTGCAAGATGCTGGATGTCCTCATACAAAGCTCGAGGACGTTCAGCGTCGTTTCACAGAGTTATATCTATGAACCAGAAGGAAGCATCAGCCACTAGAGGCAGTCTTAACTTTGCAATGTTTTCAGCTGTGGAGTTAGGAGGACAGGGATACTGCACCCAGACCACTTTAATTAGATGAAGTGGTCTGGTGCCTTTAGTGTACTTTTAAGAAAAAGCAGCATGTTGATAAGTCACAAATAAAGCACCATTGTTTTAGAAAGCAAGATTACATATTAAATTACCCAGTACAGATTTACGAACAAGGGCTTGTTGCCTCCTGCCGCTGCAATGGCTTAACAGAGAATTCTAAAAGAAACACTACTGGAAGATCTAACATTAGAACAGACAAACAACATGCAAGTGACAATTTTTATAGCAGAGTAAAAAAGGGAAGCCTTGGAAAGTGCAGTGCTGCCAAGTCACATTATTTAATTCCTGATTTTACGTCAGTCCGATGGATCACCCCACATTCCAACTCTGTTACCGAGTTTTTGGAAGACTGATGGAAAGTCAGTGCTAGCCTTTCAAGTAATTTTAGGACATTGAAACTCATACACGCATGCTTCAGTAGTGTATGGACAGCCTGTTACCTAGGGCGCGCGAGGTTGACAGACATATTAACAGAATGAACAAGAGGACAGGGAAGAAGAATGAGTTCTGAAACAGGACAGAAGGGAAATGAGAGATTAAGCCAATGAACACCAAATGAACAATTTTTTTTTTTTTAGTTATCAAAATGTTGCTCCTGTGGATGTAATGCTTTGGTGATCATACGGGTGAATTTAATGCTGCGTTCCATCCAAGGATATTCCATAACTTTGTCCTTTAAAGTGTGCACAATTTGAAACACTTCCGCAAGTTACTCTAATGTCCACATTGCTGATTCTTCTTCAGTTTATTCCTCTTCCTCATAGATGACTTATAAGTTCTTCCAATTCTTCATTTGTAAACACTTCGCGATGACCTTCAATATGTTCTGTCACTTCTTCATCAAGCATATCAACAAATCCTCTTCCACCAGTTTGTCTTGCCGCATCAATTATTTTCCTAACTTCTCCATTGATCCCCAGGAAGCCTTTGAAAGCATTCATGACTTCACTCCATAAATTCTTCTAGCAGGCATTTACGGTCTCTGGTTTTAATTCATCCATTGCAGCTTATGTCAAGATTAGGATCTGCAACAAATCTGATTAAATAACCGGCAGGTGAATGTGGCCTCAACACATCGTATAATGCCGTGGGACTGAAGGGACAGAACCAACGAATTTGTATTTGGAGATAAAAATACAACCTCAACGTTTTTATTTTCACCACAAACAGATTGAGGATAGTCACGACTTCAAGTGGCATCCCTTATTATTTCACCTTTGGGATGAAGATTTAGTGGGACCATTTTATGACTGAGGTAGCTTTCACCCAAGCTTTCTAGTTATTTTGCCAGAACATGGGTAGATATTTTACGCTTTATGCCCTGGGAATTGCTTTGTACTTTTTTGAACTTAGGTTCTGTTGGGCATCTTCTTCAAGAAAAGTTTGGTTTCATCACAATTGAAGAGTTGCTTTGTATGGTATCCTTTCTTCAACTCTACTGGAAATATGGCAGCAGCTTTATCATCAGCAGACACAGCTTCTCCAGTAATTTTTACATTTTACAGCATAACCCTAATTATAAATCTGTGTAACCATCCTCTACATGCAATAAATGACTTGGTGTCACTCATTTCATTCGGGTCATTTGGATAATTTGCTAAAGTCTTCGTATAGGTCGCGTAATGCATTCTGACGTAACACATTACTGCCAATTGGAAAACGCTGTCTGTTCATGTCTTCCACCCACAAATTGAATACCTTTTCCATCTTAACTAAACACTCATCATGTACTGTGGCCGTACTTTTTGCAGTCTGAGATGGAACAGCATTAGTAGCATGAATTTCTTTTTTCACACTTTCACTAGCAGCCTTAGCATACGATTGTTTTCTTTCTCTATGAAATTGAGAATTTTTACCATTTTACTTAAATGAAATCATTTTCGATTTCTCTTTGGCATATCCAATTTGCCAACATAACTACTCTTGTTCTTTGGAACCAGCATCACTACGGTTTTGCTTTGGGTTCTGCATCAATGCTTTTCTACTTTGGGGTGGTTATTAGAACAAAAGCACAGTTGACAAGACCGCTCAAGATTTCATCACTGCACGCGACTGTGGTTAGGTGAAAAGTCTCTGTGCTATGACATTTGAAATTTAGCGTACATGCTTCCCATTTCTCTGGATCAGCTTTGAGATGATGGTACACTTTGGTTAGAGTCCACCCACGGGCCACTGACCACTTGGGTACAACGGTCATAGCTATTTTGTACTGTTAACAAACATGACTGATAGATAAACATGCACAGGTATATGAATACACATAATCTAATGCTATGCACACAGATACCACTCCACAAACAGAAATACATGCACACATTCACAGACTGACACACAAAGGTTTACAAAAGGGAGGCATGTGGAAAACAATGACATTTATAAATGTAGTTGGCATAAGGATTTCCAGAACATTAAACTCATTGTAATGAAAGGTGTGTGTTACTGCCATCTGGAATTTGAATTCAAAGTGTTGCTTCGGGTATCACAAACACTACAGTAGGAGTACCCTGGCACTGTTCCCCAGCAAGGAGACAAAATTCTGCAATGTTTTTGTTTTTTTTACCTGCAGAGTGACAGAAGCAGGAATGCAATCATTTAATTTATTCATTCGCCATCTGAGCACTCTCAGCCAATGAATGCACTTGTGCAAAAAATGCACAGAGTTAACATAAGCAATTCACACGCCTGTGAACAACCACATGAATTATTCTCCCAGAGCATAGTAATATTTTTCAAAACCATAACATTTTATATAATAATCAGTTTAATTTGATTAGAATAGAAAATAATTTAGTAGTTTAACTGTTTGCTGACATGTTTTAAACAATGGTTCCTCAGGTGTTTATTCTCTAAAGCAAAGTATTAAACATTTAAAAAATATATACATTAACATCAATATATACCGATTCTTCCGTTTCCACTATTAAATCTAAACATTACAAAATAATGACTTGTGGTAAATGGATTTTCTGAAACAGTTCTTTAGCTATAAAAACACACAATATAACACAATAGATGTTACCATAGATTCTCTCCTGAGAATAATTTTATATCATAAAAGGCAAAAAAGATAATGGCGAGCAAAGGGAGCAAAATACATTATTGCATTACTCAGTGCTTTAGAGAAAATTAAATACGTCAAAGCTAACATTCTGACCACAAGAAGCTAATATTTTTTATTAGTAAGCACATTTCATTCCGTTTGCCCTACTTTTGAATTCTATGAAACGTTTGACTTGAGGGATAAAATATTGACCAATATGCTTTTAATGTCTAAAACCTTTATTCTTCTTCAAAATTTGTTTGCTATTTTTATCATCATTTTTTTGGTGCAATAATAATGTCATTTTGTGATGTTAAAATTCAAGCTTGGTCAATGGTCATTAATGTTCTTCTTATTTTGTTATTGTGAATTCTAAGTGTTAGAAATAGCAGAGCTTTGCATTTTTTGATGCTACGAAAATACATTTGTTTTTCTGTAAAATAACAGGTTTTAACCCTTCAGATGTAAACATAGCAGTTTCAAAGAAACTGCTATGTTTACAATGCAGGGTTAATCCAACCTCTAGTGGCTGTCTTCCTGACAGCCGCTAGAGGTGCTTCTGCGACGCAGGAAGTCCATAGGAAAGCATTGAGAAATGCTTTTCTATGGTCTGTTTGAATGCGCACGTGGCTCTTGCCGCGCATGTGCATTTCGCTCAACTCGGGAGCCGACGTCGGAGTTGGAGGAGAGGTCACCAGCGCCGAGGAAGCCTGGCACTGGATTAACGTAAGTAACTGAAGGTTTTAGCCGCTTCAGCGCCAAGGGAGGCGGGCCCTGAGGGTGGGGGGGCTATTGGGGGGAGGGGGTCCTAATGATGATATAGTGTCAGGAAAACAAGTTTGTTTTCCTGACAATATAATAATCCTTTTATATTTTTAAATAAGCTTTTTAAATGATTTAATGCTTTTGGATACAATTTTTATATGATTTTAGATTTTAAAAACATTTTAATAATTTTTTATATATTGATATTTTTTAAATATATTTTAACATTTAAAACATATATATTTTTAAAGTTTGCTAAACATATTACATCACATGAAAAGTGTATCCAAAAATATTAAATCAAAGCCTAAATTGGGAATTGAAAGGGGAATTGTTATTTGCAAAAACCCAATGGCTTTATGAATGTCTGCCATTCTCCTGTATTAGGGTATAGTTTTTTTAAATGAAATTTCTATGTTCTATATAATATTTGTTATGTTAAATGTTAAACATGTTTTAAAAGCTTAACCTTGAAAATAATTTGAATACCATTTTTTATTCTTTATTGATTTATCTAAAGCTATTTCTTTCAACAGGTCAGCTTTAGTGTTGTATTGATAAAAGTCTAAAGAGAAATGCTCCCCTGACTGACTTGAGCTAATGCTGCAGTTAATTTTATGTTAAATTACTTTGAGTTCATAAATATATATGAAGTGAAATGAGTGGTAGCCGCATAATGAAATCGTTATTCCAGCTGTCAAGAATTTCGAAGCAGTTGATAGTGCTTTCGTTTATTTCCGTAACGGATTTAATGAATAGGAAAACTGCAGAAGGAAATACATTTTTATAAAGGATATTTATGTCAACGTATAAAATATTTATTGTATAGATTATTATCTTTGGCATACCAATAACTGTAGCAGACAGTAGACTTGCAATAATGCTCTGGTTCCCAAGGGACCAAAGGCTGTACCCTTGAGTAATGGTTACTTTTAGGTTCCATTTAAGTATTTACTTTTGTAACATGTACAACATGGCAAATATAAAAAAAAAAAAATCACAAGACACTTAGGCTATTCTCAATCTTTCTTGTGGCATCAATTTAGTGTTTACATTGTAGCTGAGCTAGACTTCTGTGTCAAAATAATATTTTCTTAAGAAGTATTTTTTAAGGCCAATACATGAGACAAAATAATGAATTACTATGTCTGAAATGTAAAGTATGAAAAGTGCATGTTTTAATAAAACGGTAATTTTCCTTATATGTTTCTTATTTTGGTATTTATATTAGCATATTCCACATTGCTGTACGGTAGAGGGAATACAGACAAATAATAAATACACACTGATATAAAACAAATAGAGGCCCTGTCTGTGAGCTTACAATAGGCCAAAACAGTACCTTATACAAAGTGCTTAGCAAGATAACTCATGAGCTTACGATTGGCCAATACATTACTTCATACAAAGTACTTAGCAAGATAAAGATTATAAAGTGGAGTTGACACAACAGGTTGAAGGGGGTATTTGAAGTCATGGCTAGAGAACAGGGGGGTATGTGTTAACACAGTGTAGCTTGTGAGGTAATTAAAGTGAACCTGTTGTGAAACAAAAACGTACCTGAAATCGTTCCCACATTAAATACACATTATATCACAAAGATACACAATGTATTCAATGTAAAATATAGGAATTTACTCACTTCTCCTTCATTCCAGCGCCGCTATCGTCAAGCTTCATAGGTGTTACTCTTCCTCTATCACCCACCTCCGGTCCATCCTCTGTTTCGCATCTACTCTGC